ACATTGATTCATCAATTTGATCAGAACAATTTGATTTGCATATGCAAAGCTTTATTGACCTTACTAACGCCTAAAGTTGCAAAGCAACACCACCATTTCCATACAGATTCAGTTTAATCGACAGGTACAAAAATTTACTTCAATGTTTTAGATTATGTGATAAAGAATCCTTTCTTTTACTAGTTTTTGGCTTTTGGATGCAGAATTAGGGCCGAACAGAAACCCCAGCATGCAAACAAGCGGAAACGGGGAACACCTGCAGCCCCACAGAAAAACCTTTTGTGTTTCACAGACGAACTGGTAGCAAACAGACTGTAAACATGTGTAAACCTTTCTAATCTTTTCTTGTATCCATACTTGGATTTAGAGAAAGAAACCTGTGTTGCTCCATTGAAACAATAATAAATAGGCCATCACTTGGGGTAGGATAACACAAATTTACATGCATAATGAATATATTTCTGTCTGTTTGTTTAGAAAGATATTGTATTCCGTTAAGACATCAATACAATAAGACATCATTCGTTCCTTATGCTGGAACACTGGTTTGTTTGCGGATGTAAAACTGACCATTTAAATCTATATCACCTGCTAAACACGTGCATGCATAAGCCCTGACTTATTAGATGTGTGCTATAATGTGTTCCACACAGAAATCCCCAATGCAATCTACAGATGTCATGTTTTCCATGCACTTCAAGATCTACATATTTTTTGTAGAAAAAAAAAATAATTTTTCTGGTTTATAATTAAAATTATTCTAAAACATCATAACTAAATCAGACTAAAAACAGAGCAACTTATAATTGCTTATATCTACATGTCTGCAAGGCCCTGGCTGAAAGAAATTCCCTGCTTTTCTCAAGCTATTGCCTTTTGAAATGTTTACCTTTTTTAACTTCTTTTAACGTTAAAAATATTATATTTTGTGCTGAGATGTTTCAGAGAAGTTGTGCAAACATATTTGCTGCATCTTTCTGTGGCTTAGCCATATGCCTCCACTGGCAAGGTCTTAGTGCATTTGGTAAGATTTTTACCTCTGAACCACACTCTCAGTTCAAGCCCAGCTTAATCATGGTAGCATGATGGAGAATACAAATTCTCCTGCTTCAGTGACGGTAATCGCTGCAATTAAGTGAAGATGCCTCTGTCTGCCTCTAACACATGTGGGTCATGAATTATTTATGTAACCAAACTAAGAAACAAAAAGTTGTAAGTGGAAAAAGAAAAATCTGTTTTCGTTCGAACCTCTTAAAAAACCATCTAAAAAAGGGAGTGTGGAAAAAGTGCTTGAGGAGCCAGAGTCGAGGATAAATCTGCGCGCTTGCTTGGATTGCACTACTAGTGGTGTGGGGCCAAAGTGTTTGTGGTGGTTTTTCAGCCAATAAATCCTCCACACAGATTTTATCCAGTCAGATGTGCAGCAGGAAAAGCAAAGTGAAGGATGTATGGTCATTACTCAGCAGGACCATATCAAAGACTAAAGCCAAGGATCTGTCTTGAACTTGACTGTTTTAGAAAGACTAAGACAGACACAATGTGGGAGAATTTTAGGGTTGAATCTCTAAAATCATGTTATGATGGGCATATATATATTAAAAAACTAATTAGCTTTTTTACACCTTAAATAGCATATATAACATTATCACAATAGTGAAGTAGTACAGGTCTACATGAATTTTTTAAGTTTAAATTATATCATCAACACGCAGCAGCATTATTGGAATTTTATTTTATTGCCAGGAAAAAAAAAAAAAAAATATATATATATATATATATATATATATATATATATATATATATATATATATATATATATATATATATATATATATATATATATATATATATATCTGAAAACTTTTCTCCTTCCTACAAATGCACAATGGAAATATACTTGAAACTATAGAGGAGCATCTCAAATGTTGTTTACAAGGCCTTGTCTCAGCTTATTTTTAAGTTCTTCCCCAAATTATCCAAGCCACATGCGCCCCCTGCTGTTCAGTCTTTGTTACTACATTATGATCCTTGATCACATTTTGCTTTTTTCAGTTAACATCACCTGTATTTTTCACCTGTTGTACTCAAGTTTCTGCCTTCTCAATACATTAACTCTGGGACCAGGGTAGACTTCATTCCTCCTTTCTTAAATTGTATTTTTCTGTTTAAAATGTTTTCTTGCAAGTATAGAGGCCAATATTTCAATGCAAAGATATGGTGATTTACCGCTCAAAGCTGAAATTGTTTAATTTAATTTATACAGACAGGCTTAACTGGTTCTTTCCTAGACAGAGCCACTTATGAAGCTAGTTTACCTTTAAGTTTTGACAAATAGAAAGTATTTATGGTTGTATGTGTTTGTTTTGTATGTCTGCTTTTGTCTCCTTGAACTACCAGTTGGCCTCAGCAAAAAGAAGCTCACACCAAGCCTGTTTATGCTGGAGGTTTCTTTTTGTTTAAAGGGAGATTTATTTTTTCTCTCAACTGTTGCTGCATTCATGCTTGCTGTTAGTGATTGTTGTAGATTGCATCCAAATGCCTGCTGTCACCACCAGGGGTGTCAAAAGTACACACATTTGTTACTTAAGTAGAAGTGTAGATACTGCAGTTTAAAAACACTCTGGTAGAAGTTGAAGTATGAACTTGACCTCTTTACTCAAGTAAGAGTGAAAAAGTATGTGCTCCAAAAACTACTTAAAGTATAAAAGTATAAAGCAACCTTTACAAAAAACAGCCAGTTGCCACTATATGAATCGAAAGCTCAATTTTTCTACTATTTCAAAACAATTCTTTGAGATAGGGCCAAGGATGAGGGGGGTCTTGTTGGTCTCCGTCTCCATCTCCCGATACGCTCTCGCCTGTGTCTGACCTTTCAGACATTTCAACATCTTTTTCTGAATCCAACATTGTAGCATGGCATAGACAATACACGTTTACAGTTTGAAGAACACCTGCTCGCTTCTGAGGATTTCCTTTAACTAACCAATGAGTGTTTGCATTATATGACTCATCCAATTACACTAGTTTTCACTAGGTGTGTATGGCGCCAATGATCTGCATTAGATGGCGCACATGACGTGAAATAAATATTTATAAACATTAAACCAAAGCCAAGAGTAACAAGTAACGTTTGTTTTAAAAATGTAAGGAATAGAAAGTACTGATACCCGTGTGAAAATGTAATGAGTAGAAGTCAGAAGTAGGAAGAAAAATAAGTAATGAAGTAAAGTATAGATACCTAAAAAGTGCAGTAACAAAGTATTTGTACTTCGTTACTTGACACCTCTGGTCTCCACATGCTCATCCAGGAGGAGTGGATCCTGTAAGGTAAATAACACCATGCAATCAGTTGTGTTTCCTTATATAGAAAACTTTGACGCAATCTCACTGTATGATCTGATTGAATAGTCTCTTTAAAGTGCCTTGAGATAACGTGTTGTGAAATGGTGCTAAAAAAAAAAAAAAAAAAAGGATCTTAACTTATACTTAAACTCATCTTTATTTATCCCTTGGGATTTCTCCAGGGAAATTCTGGTTACAGTAGCTTATATAGAGTACAAAGGGCAGAGTTTAAGCAAGATGCTATTAATGCCTCTGATGTCTTCACCCCGAGCACAGACTCCCCTTAGGGCTGTGTCCTGAGCCCCCTGCTGTTCCCCCTGATAACACATGACTGCGTCCCCAGGTTTACCACCAATCACATCGGGAAGTTTGCAGACGACACCACGGCGGTGGGCCTCATCAGAGACGACAACAACCTGGACTACAGATAGGAGGTGGAGCAGCTGGTGGGCTGGTGCAAAGATAACAGCCTGATCCTGAACTTGAGAAGACGAAGGAGATCATCTTGGACTTCAGGAAGAAAGGGCCTAACCACGCTCCACTGGTCATCAACAGCTCAGCTGTAGAGGTGGTTAGCAGCACCAAATTCCTGGGGGTGCACATCACAGACACCCTCACCTGGACTGTAAACACCACCTCACTGGTCAAAGGGCACAGAAGCACATGTACTTCTTGTGGAGGATGAGGAGAGCCCACCTGCCCCCACCCATCCTCCCCACCTTCTACAGAAGCACCATAGAGAGCGTTCTGACCAGCTGGCTCACTGTGTGGTGCTCTGGCTGCAGCACCTCAGACTGGAAGAGATAAGAGAGGTGAGAACAGCAGAGAAGATCATCAGGGCTCCTCTTCCCTCCATTAAAGACATTTTATCCCAGCTCTGCATGTCCCGAGCCCGTAACATCATAAATGACGCCTCACACCCCCACCATGGACTGTTCTCCCTGCTGCCCTCTGGGAAGTGACTTTGAAGCATCCGATGCAGGTCCAGCAGATTCCAGAACAGTTTATTCCCCACTGCTATTAGTCTGCTGAATGTTTTGTAAAATGGTTTATTTTATTGTATTTTATTATATTTATTATATTTTATTATTTAAAAAATATATATTACTGTTTTTATGAATTTTTTTACTGTTTTCAAGGCTGCAATTTCAAAAAAGGGAATTGTCTAGAGAGCTGTTCTTGACGAAATTTCTTTTTGTTTACACTTGTGTATACAAAATGACAAAATAAATCTGTCTAAGTCTAAAGATAAAAAGACAACAGATATAAGAAAAGTTGTAATGTCCTGGAATATGTTTCTTTTAGATATGAAAATATCTGCACTCTATAGAGCTAAGGAAAGACTGCACAGGAGTTGACCTGGATTATTGATACATAATTTTATATGTATAGCTGGATATATAACTTAACTGAAATTAAATTATTGGGCAAATTTACAAACATGGATGTCCTTCAGAAACCGGTGAAAACTGGTTGATTGGCAGATATTTAAATATGGGATCATCTTTTCTTACGCTCTTGCTCAGCTGGTGTAATTCCGCATAAGAACTGTAGATGGCAGTGTTAAGTTTTTTTGTCTCGTATGTAGTAGTATCAGAGGAAGAAACGTTAGCATAAGGGTTCTACTTAGCTTTAGGTAAAAGCTAGCGTCAGCCGGTTTGAGCCTGAGCATCCTTCTAGAAAAGCACCACTTAAAGTAAAAAAAAAAAAAAAAAGACTGACTGACTGACTGTGCTGATCGTTTCACTTTTAACGTAAACCCAGGGACGAAAACTCTCTTTGAAGACAAAGAGTATAAAGGTATGCGACGCTTGCAATATAAATCGAGTTGCTATTTAATCTGAATTTTTAGAAATAAGTCTTTTGTCATGTTTTCCTCGAGACGGTTGGAAAACGGACTGGGTCGCTGCGTCCCTGGAGGATCTTTACTTTTCACGGTTAATACTTAACATCATGAAACAATGATATTCTTTAAAATAACCACTTTTTTTAGTCCATATTATAGCTTTAATTGACATTCGTTAGACTTGTGGCTTTGCCTGCATATTGTTCCAGAACATGCTAGTATAGGCTAACAATGGAAGAAGCTAGGTTAAATGATCCATGCAACGTTAGCTCTTAATCAGAAAGTCTGCTTTGATAAATGGACAGCGTAGAAACATAATTTACAGTTCATCATCCTTTAATGTCGCATTTATTTTTTTTATTTGTCGGAAATAATGTTACAACTGAAGTTTAAGAATATAACTTTAAGGCGCAGGCCCACATTTTAATTATGTTCAGTTCCTTTTTATCTTCTTTTGCTCACTTAGACCTACGTTTAACTGTTATCTTTAAAGGTCTAAGAAGAACAGTTTTATTCGTTTTTTTTTGTGTGTCGTGATCAGACAGAAGGCGGAGAGGTCCTGATTATCCCAGGTTTCCATGGCTAGCAACGTTTAATAAAGCTAATCGTTTTGTAAATTATTCAGGATATATTCCTTAAGTTTCCGGATGCATAGCAGGTTAAGCGACATCTGTCAGCAGTTTCTGTAGTATAAAGAATCATTATTGCCATTATAAAACCAAGATTCTGCTGTGAGCCTCGGATTAGAAGACACACACACAGAAATATGCAGATAGACTTTAAAAACAAAAAAAAAATTAAAATACAAAATACTCTTTCAAGACTCAGTATTTTTCTAAGATGTATAAAGTTCCTAGAAGAGAAACCTTGAATATACACCCCGGACGTAAAATATAGCAGAACATTTTGAAATGTTGGTTTAAAAACACACGTTTTTCTTCTACAGATAAAAATAAATAAAATAAAATGTCCTTACAGAATCCCATACTTTGCTTTATGGGGCTTATTTGCAACAGAATTTCAATTTAAAAGGTAATAGAACAAAAAACCAAACCGTAACATAAATTATTATGTATGGTGACTTTGAAAATAACTGCTCTAGCATAAGCTAACTTTTTATGGTAATATAAATATGACATTTAGTAATTGTACTTTTTTTTTCTTGAATATGTCTTGAAATAAAATGCTAATTTTCATTTAATTGAGTCTGCATTTTGTATTGTAAATGTTTTAATAATAATAGGCAATATTCTGCCTTGAGATAAAAAAAAAATACAATTATCTTAGAATCTTTATTTTAAGTGAAGTGAAGTGTTAAATTTTAAAGTTTAAATACATTTGTGGGAAGTTGGACCTTGAACGTGTCTAATTTAGCCTGTCCTCAACTACCAAATTAGTTTATTTCTGTAGTATAGGTTTGAAATTGGGCTCTACAAACTCTTTTTCAGTTTGGCTGGCCATGCTGTCTTAGAAGAACATGACAGGCATGAGCCCCAGCTATTTAGTTAAATGGAAACAACATAAAATGGATGGGGAATAAAGTTTATGTGTTAATGTTTTTACATATTTTCTAAGTTTCAGCCTGCATTAAAAAAAATCAGAAGTTGCTTTGAGAGGAAGACACACCCAGAGGAGATCATTACTAATCCATTGATTGCAGCATGAACAGCAACTGCTGCTTACTCATAAAAAAAATTATGGATTACTCTACGATTGCTTTACGTCATATTTTCAGAAGGAAATTCCATTTGATGCTTCATGCATACTGCTCAATGGGTTAGCAATATTGTCTTGCAGCAAGAAGATCTGGGTTCGATTCCCACCCCGGCTCTTTCTGCATGGAGCTGCATGTTCTCCCTGTGCATGTGTGGGTTCTCTTCAGGTACACCGGCTTCCTGCCACAGTCCAAAAACATGACTGTTAGTTCAATTGGTTTCTCTAAATTCAGAAAATTGATGGATAGATTCATGCAGCCTTCTGTTTACACAGGAATTTTTACAGACATTTTTTCCAATAGATTGACCCCCTATTACTTTACCAATTAATGGGAGAACAACTGATAATTAAACTGATCTTGTTCATATCTACTTTTTGTAAAGTTCTCAAAATCAGCCTCGGCTAATGCTCAAAATTTTTCATCAAAATTTTACGAGAAGTCCCACATTTGCAGTTAAAACAAATTTGTATTGTTTGCTGGAGGGTTCAGTAAAATGATATAGGAATATTGAATGATCTTATGTCATCGTACTGCTTTTGACTTTATCTTTAACAGCAACTTTAACGCCTGAAAGTGTTTTGTCATTTAAAAGGAAATTGGTGCAGGCGCAGACATTTTAAAATTGATTACCAACTAAAAAAACTGCACTCAGTGCACCCCTAATAACAACAGGTGTTACAGAGAAATGTTGCTAAATATGGGAATTTGTGTATTGAAGTCCCCAAAACATAAATAATTAACTTTTATATAATTTATGAAATATGCTTGAGGGTTGAACAGGTAGGTTATACTATGTAGCCATTAAAATAACATAACTCAGTAATAGAGACATTAGATAATTCTCATATGATGTTTTTCCCATTTTCAATGTGTCCCTTTAGATGCCTTCAGCAGCGGTTGGCAACAATGCTGTCCAGTGTGCCATTCCAGAGCTGGGAAATGGAAGTCAGTCTGAGACCATGAAGCAGTTTCTTGGTGTAATTGACAAAAAGGTCCGGAATATGGAAAAGAAAAAGGTAAAATTTTAAGAGTTATACAGATGGATGTTTCTTAATGCCTCCCTGTTTTGGTAGTCATTTTTATGTCTGTGTGTGTTATTTAAATTTCTGTTTTTTCATCTTCATAAGTTGTCAGAAGTTAATGCTCAGAGGTCATTTAAACAAGGATAAATATTTATAATTAAATTTCCCCAAGAATTTCGGAAAGCATGTTGTAATGAAAGCTGTATCGTCCATATTTGTTTTTAACATTTATTCTTCAGTCTGCTGGTATAAGCTGGTTTTATAGCAGAAAGAATGTTATGCTCTTTCAAACAATCCAGATAAGTTTTTGGAAGAAGAATTAATCTTTTCATCTTTATCCTTTCCTCTATTACTTTTTCTCAACTGTTGATGTTTTTTTTTATTCTTGTATTGCATTGTCATTTTTTCTCAGAGAACCTTTGTTGATGGTTCTGGTGTTTGTTTGTTTTTTCAGTCCAAACTTGATGACTATCAGGCCAGAAAGAATAAGGGAGAAAGACTGAATCAGGATCAGCTGGTAAGACGAGATACTGGAGGCTACTTAATATGCAGTGTTGCATTTTCACTTTTTGTTTTTTTAATTGTCTTAAAATATTCCCATAACCCAGTTAAGAAATATTTATGTTTATGGAATATGTCTTCGTGAAATACATGTTGATATGTTTTTTTTTTTTCCTTGATGTGTCCAAAGGAAGCCTTGTCAAAGTATCAAGAAATCATCAACAACCTTGATTTCGCTCGAGAACTGCAGAAGGGGTTCCTGGCTTTGGGCCATGAGGTAATTAAAACCTCTTTTCTTTTATTGTTTGTGATAAAACCTGAGGATTTCTGATGCTATCAGTACGCTGTTGATAATTTACTAAAGAGAGGTTTTTAGAAAGTTATTAGGAAAAAAATATCTCTCATTTGAGGGTGCCGGTACTAGCTGATGTTGACATTTGCTTTGTAGAGCTTGTGAAATAAAATCTACCAAAACTGCTCTGTGTATGTTTAGGTCCAAAAGGCAGTGAAAAAGTCTGCACGGCGAGAGCAGCTTCAACGGGAGGAAATGGAACAACGGCGGTTGAAGAAGGTTTTGGAGCTGCAATATTTGTTGGACCAATTAGGCGAGGACAGCGTGCGACAGGACCTTAAAAGACCCAATGCCTCTGGTTCAGCTCTGCTCACGGATGCTGACCTTGCATCTTTTGATGAGTTTTATAAATTGGTTGGACCTGATAAGAACTGTGATGTCAGGTATGTGGGTGCTTTTGATAGTCAGTGATTTTCTCTAAAGGCATTAATTCAGATGCATCTTAGAAGCTATAATATTATTCAATAGCTTTTATTTAAGAAATGAAGTTAAAATTGAGGAGTACAGGTACATATTAAGGTTGTTTCAAAAAAACACACAAATAAAAAAATTCAGGCTTATGGAAAAAACATTTTCTTTTATGAACTCAATATTTGGTCAGGGCTTCTCTTGCAGAAATTATTGCATCAGAGCGGAGTGGCATGGAAGGATCAGCCTTGAGCACCACTGAGGTCTAATTGTAGCCCAGGTTGCTCTGATAGCTGGATTTCAGTCATTTCCTTTATTGGGTCTGGTGTCATTTCCAACTGGACTGTAGCCCATAGATTCTCACAGTCAGAAGTGTCAAACCCCAGTCTTTGCTAGCCAGCGATTTTCAACCTTTGGATGTGTCCCTGATCTTGCACACCAAACTCAAATCGCTGAATTACCTCCTCAGGTGCTAATTAATTTGGTTATAATTATTGCTACCAGAGAAAATGAAATTGGCTTCACAATGAAGCTTATAAGCCTAAAGAAGCATAACATTTTAAGGCTTTCTAGCAACAGGTATTCTGCTACTCACTCTTCTCCCGACTCTGGGAAGATGATTTCCAAAACCCAACATGATTTACATCCAAACAACATCTTCATTTGGTTGAAAGGTGAAAAGCCGTAATGTTCAGATCCTCGAATCTGATTCTTTTCAACATCTATTATTGGACTAAAGTAAGACTAAATCAGACAGACTCAACACAGACCAATTGTAAACAAATATTTCTGGACTAAATCAAGACTATGACAGACCGATTAGATTTGGCCTAAAAACCAACGTTTAAATGACCGCTGGTGTTTGGGGCGACGCCTGTATTATCTGGTTCAGTAGTGGGCTGGATACCCCTGTGTGTGGTGACTGTTGAAGCTCTGGCTGCAGTCCACATCTCATAGGTCTCTCAGAAACTCTTAATTTAACTCTGCTTCACACTGTTCTCAAGGATTACTTTGGATGTCTTTTTCTTTCCGGTCAACTTTGCGTTAACGCTTGAATTAATGCAAATTAAATCCATCCCGGCCGTCGGCCATAAAAACCAATTTATATGTAATTTAAAGTTAAGGGAAGCTGAGATTTGGCTTTTCATTTGGTCGAAGATTGTAATCATTAAATTAAACAGTGCAAATATATTATCATGTGTCATCAAGCTTAGAAATGTTTGTGTTTTTTTTTTGTTAATTTTACTTTGAAATTCTGAAAATCTAAAATGACCAGTGAATAATTATTGTTCCAGATTGACTGACCAGTATGAGGAGGCTTCCCAGCACTTGTGGTGTCTGCTTGAAGGTCGAGATAAGCCTGTGGCAGGAACTACATGTAAGTATTTAGGGGAATTAAAAGTGTAAAAACTAATATCTATCATTCTCCTGAATGAATTTATATATCATAGAGGTGTTATTTGAGTGTTCCATTTATTTTTTTGAGCATTGTATATAAATATATGCTTGTGGTTATGATGCCAACATTGGCACATAAGGAAACGGCACAAATGAATACGAAGTAATTTTAGATTGGCGTCACGTGAGGCAGAGTTCAGGCATTGCCAGATCTTTGTAGCTCTGTGATAGAAGCAAGTGAGAAATAATTTATCAGCGATGCAGTTCCCAGATTAAAGTAAAAAAAAAAAAAGGCAATACAATTTGGAAATGGATTGTGTTTTTGAGCATTTGGTGCTAGTTCAGGAAGCGAAGAGGCTGAGGAGCCATGCAGAGGTTGATGCTTTCCTTCTGGACATGCAGGTTAAATATGCATGTTGTTTTTACATGGGGAAGTAAATTTTTTTTTAATAGTTGAAGCAAAGAAGTGTCTAGTGATACAGATTTTTGGAGTTTATCCTTCAAAATAAAACAGTGTTTTACATACACTTGAGTACTTATCTTTGCCTGGCCTGTAAGCAGATCTCGAGATTTCAGGCACAGTGTAGATTTTGGCCATCTCAAATGGATTTTTTTCTTAAAGCACTAACCCAGTGGGGTTTTAAAAACTCTGTTAAATGGCTCCTTCAGTCTTTTTTTTTTTTTTCCTTGATTTTTACATTACCGTATTTTCACGACTATAAGGCGCACTTAAACGTCTTTTTTTCCCCTCAAAATGTGCGGTGCGCCCTTTGGTGCGGTGCGCCTTATGTGTGTTGTAACTGCGACTTTTGAGACCACCTCATTGAGGAGATGATGAAAGAGTGGCTGAATGTAAGGAGACCAGGTGTTTTTTTTCCACTCATCACCATCGCTGTTAATATGTAACCCCATGCGTTCCCATCTCACAGCTGATGTGAAAAACATGGGGAAACAAATTAACCCTGTGCTCGCTGTTCAACCGCTCGACATCGGTGTGAACCGGACCCAGCATGTGCAGCAGAAGCAGCGAGTTTACATGCAAAGTCAATGGTTGACGAGCGTATAGGTGCAGCAAAAGGTCCCGCAGCGCGTTTTGAGCAGCAGGTGCAGCACGTGATCGGGAGCGTTTAAGCATCTGACGCACCGCCAACGCGCTGCTGCTGCTCGAGATGGAAAAATTGAAGTTTTGCTGCTGGACGCGCCGCATCAACCAATCAGAGAAGCTGATCTGGGAGCTGACAGCGAGACAGACACAGCGCTCTGATGACATATGATATTAAATGAAAAAGGCTGGATGGATGAAGAGATGATGAAAGCGTGGCTGAGGGAGGTGTATGTGAGGAGACCAGGTGGTTTTTTTCCACGCATCACCATCGCTGCGTGCCCATCTCACAGCCGATGTGGAAAAAAAGGTGAATCAAATGAACGCTGTGCTCGCTGTTATCCCCGGGGGTTTGACACAGGAACTTCAACCGCTCGACATCGGTGTGAAGCGGCCGTTCAAAGTAAGGCTGCGAGCGGCGTGGGAGCGATGGATGACCGACGGAGACCACAGTTTCAGGATATGTGGAAGGCAGCGCCGGGCAAGTTACGCCACCTTTAGCGGATGGATTGTAGATGCTTGGACTAACGTGTCTGCTGGCTCTGTTGTTCAAGCTTTTGCAAAAGCCGGCATTATTTCTGAGGAGCTGCGCTGCACGGAAAGTGACTCTGACAGCGAAGAAGGGGAAATTGGCATGTCTGATTTAGCGCAGCTGTTTTATTCAGAAACAGAGGATGATGACTTTGATGGGTTTGATTAATACTTTGTAATAAATACTTGAATAAAGCACAATCATACTCAGTTTTGCTCCCGCTCTATTTTTCTACCTGAAAACTTAATTCAACAGCAGCCTCTGGGCGGGTCTCCTCCTCTTCACCGCGGTGGCTGGCAGGTGTTTTTTCATCTAAATAATCTAAATCTTTCAGCTATATTTGCTGTGATCAGTGGGAATAAAGTAGTTTTAATATGTTTTTAAGTGAGAAAGTCCACCTGAAAACTTAATAATTGCAGTCAGTTCATCCAGATTATCTATTTCTGTCGGAGGCGCTCAGACCCCCACATACCAGCGGTGCGCCAACAGGAGAAATCCCTTCATCAGCAGCCTCTAGGCTGGGCAGCCTCCGGGTTCACGCAGTGGCTGGCAGGTGTTTTTCATCTAAATAATTTAAACTGCAGGCACCAGGATACCGGTAATAAAAGCGAACATATTCCGTCGGCGGGTTTCAGGATTTTAAGTTAATTTAGGAGTGACCACAGCGCTGTGTCATCTGCGATGTGTCTGTCTCACGGCCAGCTGCCAGGTTTGATTAATACTTTGTAATAAATACATGAATAAAGCACAGTCATACTCAGTTTTGCCCCCGCTGTATTTTTAAATACGCAGTAGAGGTATTTAAAGGTAGTAGAGGACATGTACCTGTATATAAAAAACGCGCCCTATAGTCCGGTGCGCCTTATGTGTGTGTTAAATACAGAAATGGGACACATAACTGAGAGTGCGCCTTTTAGTACGGTGCGCCTTATGGTCGTGAAAATACGGTACTTTCGAAAAAGGTAAAAACATGATCAATATTTGTAAGGGTTGATCCAAAAATCAACAGAACTCTGTATGATACTCAGGTAAACCTTTACTTGTCTTCCATCTTTGTTTTAGACAAGTCACTGAGGGACACTCTGGACAAACTACTGATAAGTGGCTACTTTGAAGGATCAGAAGCTAAACAGAATGGGGACTGTGAGACGGAAGAGACACCAGAAGAGACATCGGAGGAGCAGACAGCTGTGGAAGAAACTGCAGCTACTGAGGAGCAGCCTCCCGAATCTGGTAACCTGTCACTTATTTACTTAGAGATTTATTAGAAGTGTTTACTTTGTGTGTTCACTGCTCAAATGTTTTTTTCTAGGACCAAAAACTGAAAGTTACACAGAGCCTGTACAAGTGGAAACCACAGAGGTTGGGATTCGTTTTTTATGTATCATATTAAAAGCCACAGACATCGATATTTATGCCTGTCTTTATTATGTTTGATTGCAATAGTTGTTCTTTGTTGTAGTTTTTTAACAGGCAGTTTGTTCCAGAAACTCCATACAGTAACACAGACAAAGACCAGGTGGAGGAGTGGACTGTGGAGGCTCAGGTATCCTCAGATAAATTATCACTGTCCACCAAATACATTAGATGATCTGTTTGCCTTTAAACACATTTGAAATTTCATCCAATCCCTTTCAGTTTAATAGTGCATTGTGACCGGATGTCCACAGCGTGTTCGGTGGATTCGCTTATAATTCCTAAGCAAACCACGTGGGGGAGCGGTGAATCCCATGCGGTGAGAGCGTTCACTGGATGGATTGAGTTGTTATCAAACAGCAGCACCATATGGAGCGTGCTGAGCGCTGATAGCTAAAGTTTAAAAGCATTTAACTTTTATGTGAAATTGCGACACTGATACCAATCAGGGACTGGTTGTAGGTGAACCTTGTTTTATTTAAAATGGAATACAGAGAAAATGTTTTAAAAAAAACAAACTAAGGAATGCTCTCAAGAGGTTTTTAGGTGGCCCTTGGAAGCATTGTTCGTCGTCCTCCCTTACCTCCAGCACAGACCGAGGTCTGTCACTGCCCACCATCTGTGTTTTCTGCAGGAGTAGATTTCCAAGGAATTGCAGCCGAATCCGAACAGCAGCTCTGGATGAATGAAAGTGGACTGTTTGGTCTTTTTTTTCTGGGGGGGCTTTTCCAAAAATGTAAGGTCTCCCCAAAGCAATTCAGAAGTTGTTCACAGAGATCAAATTAGAAGCAGTTAAGTTTCACCTGTGCTTTTATTGTGAAATACCGACAGCAAGACCTTGACAGGAAGTGCTATGGAGTTGCCAGGGGTAACAGCAGGTCCAAAGCAAAGGGTTTGGAAGACTAGTGATTTACTAAATTTTAAACAACAATTCCAGCCTCTAAATAAGGTAAACGTGCCCACTGTTATGTTCCATATAAGCACAGGAAGGTCTTGTGATGTTCTGCAATGGCTTTATATTGGGAAAATGGGCTGATTGGTTTTTGCTTTAAGCCCAGGCTCCGGCTTTCAGTGTCCTTTGGCAAAACACTTCACCCACATTGAATACTGAAGGTGGTCCCACGGCCCAGTGTACAGCAGCCTCGCTTCTGTCAGTCAGCCTCAGCTGTGGCTACAATGTCGCTTGCCACCATCAGTGTGTGCGTTAAATGACTGAATGTATTGTAAATTACTTAGGTCAGGTCTCCTGACTTGAAAAAGCGCCATATAAGGACAGGTCAATTACCATCTAGAAAAATATTGAATATCTCTGAAACAACAGTAGCACACAAGACTTTTTTATTTTTACAAATGGCCACTTTAAATGCACAAGCCTGCACTAATGAAGCCATTACCATTCAGTCTATTTTTTCTATTTTTTTTTATGTCAATGGGATGTCAGCTTCACGCAGCAGAAAATCCTCCTATTTGATGATAAGATCCAGGATGTAAACACTGCATCTGAAACGCAGGGCAGTCAACCCTCCTGAAGGGCCCGCGGAAATGACCACAGACTCTGCGTTTAGTCTGAACGCACCATAAGTCTTCTGGGAAGTTTGTAAATGAGGTTGGGGAGTGTTTATTAATAGAAACATGTAAGCATTCTTCAAAAACTACATTTCTGTGATCAGACACTGATGTTGGGCATATTGGCTTTGTATCTTATTTGTCCCAAGAGCATGTATTCTGTTAGGATCACGGTTCCTCCTATAAAGGTTCAGTCATTTGAGGAATGGCAGAGACCATGTTTGCACAAAGCTCAAATGATGAAGTCCGAAATGTTGTTTAGGTTGCAGTTCCTTTTGTTAAAACTAGGGAAAGAACCCCACACACATGATACTTTGCAACATAGCATATTTAACTGGTCTTATTTTGGTCTTTTTAATATCCCTGCTTCTATTGACAGATAAATTCCCTCCAGAACCATCCCCCTGCACAGCTGGCTTCTGAACCCACCATTGCTGTCCACCAAGCTGCTCCTTCTGCCACTGACCCCGTAGTCAGAAAGCAGGTTGTGCAAGATCTCATGGCTCAAATGCAAGGGACTTACAACTTTATGCAGGTTAGAACAATATTACATCCTTTGCCAAGCGACTTGTTATTGTAAAATGTCAATATACACTTCAAACCTTTAAATGAAATGCTTTAACGTATCTTTAGAAATAATTATTTATAGGGTGTATAAAGAAGGTGATCATGTACGCTGTGTCCACATTTATCAGGCATGGTTTAGTTTTGGCCATATCATCGTTTTAATGTGCATTTTCCAAATCCAGGCTGTATAAACTTGAAGGCTTGTTGAGTATAAACATATCAGCTGATGTATATTTGTTTAATGAGGGAGGGTGGGGCCTAATGAGATCAACACCCTATATCAAGGTGTGCATAATTATGAGGCAGATTCTCTTCCTCAGACAAAATGGCCAAAAAAAAAGAGATTTAATTAACTCTTAACATGTCCAAAATATTAGTCTTCCAGAAGGATGCAGCACTCTTGAAATTGTGAAGATATTGTGGCGTTATCACAAAGCCATCAAACATTTAGTGTAAACATTCAATAGGGTGGCAAGAAATATGTTGAGAAACAAATTATGGAAATTAACTGCCAAAGATTTGCGAAGAATCGAATGTGAAGCTACCAGGAACCCATTATCGTCCAGTGCTGTCATATTCCTAAACTGTGATCTAACTGGAGATCCTAGAAATATAAGATGTTCAGTGCGCAGAGACATGGCCATGGTTAGGAAAGCTGAACCCAGAATCCCACTGAACAAGAGGCATAGGTTAAACGTCAATACATATCTGAAGACAGATTTTTTTCGGACCAATGAGATGAAAGTAGTTATTGACAGACCAGTAGGATGGGCCCGTGACTGGATAAGTAATGGACACAGAGCTCCAACCAGTACACCCACAACAAGGTGAAGGCTGGTATTATTAAAGATGAGCTATTTGGACCATTTCAGGTTAAAGATGGACTCAAAATCAATTCCCAAACCTACTACCGCTCTTTAGAAGACACTTTCTTCAAGCAATTGCACAAGAAAAAAGTCAGCATCTTTCAAGAGGTCCATGATTTTTATGCATCACACGCATTAGAGTACTCCACTATGCGGCTAGTCGGCAAAGTTTTAAAGATGAAAGAATAATGAATTGCCCCTTCCTTAACCCCATTGAGAACCTTTGGTCCCTTCTCAAACGTGAGATTTACAGATCATCGTTAACAGATCAAGAAACTGACACACTCCATGAATGGAATAAAAGCCTTTTTTTCTTTTACTTAATTAAATATTCAGGTTTGAGAGGTTAATAACATGACTGAGAGAGCTGTAGTACAACAATAAAAGTAATCCTCACAAGTACAACTTGCATAATAATTGTGCACACATTGTGCTCAGTGGAGTGATCATAGCGCTCTTCATCAACATTGCTGTCTGTCTCCCTGCCAGCTTGCAGAACGGCTTCTTTGATTGGTTGATGTGTTGCATCAAGTAGAAAAAATAAAAATTTTCCAACTCTAGCATCTTCTGCTTGTGAATTTTTGAACATTTTAGCAAAGTTTCCAGAGGGAAATTAGGGCGTACCAAAGCCATACATCCCAAAAACAGGGCATACAATTTCTAATATTTTTTGTAAAGGGCGTACAATGTATGCTTGTACACATTGCTAGCTAAAAGCCTGACCCAAACCATTGTATCATTACACTAACTTCAAAGCTGATAAAGGCATGGTTACATTGACAGGACTCCATGTTGGAATTTGACAACCAGGTTTTGGACCCAGCCATTGTGTCGGCACAGCCAATGAAACCTCTGCAGACCGTTGATCTGCAGCAGATGGGTGGCCCTACAAGTGAGTGATACTTAAAATTTTACCTAGCTTACACTAACGGACATCTTATTAGAATTGTCCCTTTTGCTTTGCTTTTAGTTGCTCACTCAGAACAAAGGCTTCCTCAGACGAATGCTGTATCTGGACCACAGGATTCCTCTCAGGTAAGAACAGAAAAGCATAAAATGATGCATGTTCTTTTGAGATACCTGGAAAGTCTGGTATCTCAAAATGTATTTTGTCAGGAAATTAAATGTATTCTAGGGATCACCTAGACGTTATTTTTAAGTGTTCTTTCTATGTTTTTACAAAGTCCTTTGAATAATGTACAGCATTAGCTAGAGGCTTCTAGTGTTATCGCTGCTCCCATTGCATCCGCTGACCTTTGTCATATTCCTTGTTTCCTTACCTTTCAAATTTCCTTCTGCCTGCCTTCCTAGACCTCTATGTCTCTGTCATCTGACCAGTCTTCTGCCCCATGTTCCCTGTCTACTGCCTTCCCACCTGTCTCCAAACATATCAACTCCGGAGGCATCAATGTGAACGCAGCACCTTTCCAGTCAGTGCAAGCGGTATGCTTTGGGTTCACTTAAGCAGCCTAGCAGCAAATATGTTTGGATTTGATCAATTCAGCTGAAACACGAAGCTTTGTGGAATTTAAGGCTTAGTCAGTATTAGAGCACAGTATTTAAAGGCCCTGTAACCAAAGTGGATTTTGTTCCATTAAAACAGGAAGCTGTGTTTCCCCCCCACCTCCACAGATCCCCAACAAATTGTTGCCAAATTAATTGATTTTTTTTATTTTATTTTCTAACTCCAGGTATTTAATATGAACGCACCTGTACCTCCACCCACCGATGTCCAAGCAGATGCCCTTAAGCAAGCCAGCCAGTTTTCTGGTGGCTATGGTCAGGGCTTTAACAGCCAATCAGAGAACACTGTAGAGCAGCCGGAAATACCACAGGAAAGACTACAGTCAGGTGAGATCACATGTAGTACATTATAGAACCTTTTACTGGACCACAGAGCAATCAAAAATGGAGAAGGTAGTTTTTTCAGCTTGGGGAAATGTTTGTAAGCTAGCTTATTTTAGTAACTCATCTATCAGTGCATTATAGACTTCTAAGATACTTTGACTCCCTTTTATCAGTTGTTGGTGGATTCCAGCCTCAAGACCAGGTCATGCCATCAGCAGGAGGTCATGTTGATCCCTCTGCAGGGTCGGGGTTCGGGCAGTCCAGCCAGTCATTTTACAGCAGCAGAGGCGTCCCCAGGGGTGGACCCAGGAACAACCGCAGCATGATGAATGGATATCGAGGCTCCTCAAATGGGTTTAGAGGTACTACATTAAACATGTCGTGGATGGAGCAGTTATGTTGTTTTAGTAACAGAGCAATTTTACCTGTGTGGTCTAATTTTATCGTCTGTTATCAGGTGGTTATGAAGGATACCGCGCTCCGTTCTCAACCGCTCCTTCCTGCAGTGGTTATGGCCAAACCCAATTTAACACATCGCGTGACTATTCCAGCTACCAAAGGGTAAGGCATGACTCACTTTAACCTCACCTAATCTGTGTTTGTTTTGTTTTTTCCCTTCGAATAAGCTGGCTAATCTGTGTTTACCTACACTCTCCTCCAGGAGGGATATCAGCAAGGCTACAAGCGAGGAACTGCCCAAGGATCTCGAGGAATGCCCCGAGCCAATGCTCAAGCAATGCGTTCTTAAAGGATCATGATAATGTCCTATTGCGCCACGTGGAACATTCAAGGTTTTGAATGTGTTAGCCCAAGTTCACTTTTCTAACGTTTATTTCTGATGGGTTCTTTTTTTTTTTACTCCCCCACCCCAAAACCACCCCCCTCATATTAATCAGCCTGCTGACATTTAGATCCTCTAAATGTTTTAACAGAACATACTCAAGTTCACCACATGTAGGATTCTCAGAGTCTGTGTCATGTATAACTACAAATAGATTTTCCTGTAAACTTGAAAGAGTTCATTAATTTATTTTTTTTACAAAGTAAATGCAAAAAATTTCCCTGCCACTGTTGATCGGAGTTCATAAGAATGGTTTACTTGTACCCTTTGCTGTTGAAGCTTTCCCTTTTGATCCTATGATTTTCTTAAAAGCGTCATATTTTTTTTTTTAACCCACTGTTGTGTTGCGCAGTAATCCATTTGTACACTGTTATTGGTTAAGACTGTTTCAATAAAGTTGTATCCTATGAGCCTCTGTTTAATGACTCCAAATTTTAGGTATGTTTTTATAGATGTTGCACTCAGCTGTGAGAATAGATTGATTTTAAGATAATAAATTTAACCAATGTCGGATACCTGCGTACGGAAGAGGATTAGGGCCACTGGAATTTTTTTTTTTTTTTTCAGTTTGATATGGGAAAAAAGTCAGAATTCTGACTTTAATTGAAGAATTTGGGATTTTAATGTAGATGGGCACCATGAAGGAAGAAATGTGGGATCAGTCAGCTTTACTGACAAAGATGTGAGTTGTTTGAGAGAGCCAGTGACACATTGGTGGAAAATGACGGAATTGGGCAACTTTTTACGTGCCCGAGGGCTCCCCTCATTAATGGAGGAGCAGAAGGTGATTAAAACGAGAGCTATATTTACAGGCTTTTGAAGAATTTTCTACAGTTGTCCTGCCATTAATGTGCAAAACCAAGAGAAAGGGGGAAAAAAAAGATGAATTAACAGTGTTCCTAAAATATTTTAGCTTCAGATATCACTGGAAGAAGAAGCCTATAAACCCAGTTTTGTCAGTTAAGCACTGATAGATTTCAATAGGTTTATTTCTAAAACAAGATTTACATTTTTAAGCAATTATTTTTTATCGGGTTCCTCTTGAGCAGGGTTCTCCATCCATGGTCTTCAAGATCTATTTTCCTGCATATTTTAGATGCATCCCTGCTCCAAAGAAGCTGTATCAAATGAATGGCTCATTACCAGGCCTTTGCTAAATATGATAGAGTGCTGAAGAGATCATTTGAACGAGCTATTTCAGAGGAAGGATGCAGCTACAGTCTGCATGACTGATCTTAAAGACCAGGAATCCCCTGTTCAATTGGATCTTGCGAACCATTAATTTGTGAGTCTACGTGTCAATCATTAGCAACAGATGGGTACACAAGACCTTTGCTTTAAAGAATTTAAAGTGAACATTTTATATTTTCACTAATGGGAAGATATTTAAAATCCTACACTTTCCCACTCCCAAGTAACCATCCGTTATATAAGAAACTACAAAAAAAAATTCTGAAAAGGTAAACAGATTTATTATCTTGAACTGAGGTTTTTTGTTTTTGCAAATGACTGGTATACAGCAGGGAGAATTCAGAAACCCAACGTGTATATTCTGTGAGGTTATATAAAGCCTTGTTTTTAAAGGATCATATGACAGAAAACATAAAAGATTGAATATAAAGTAATAGATCTGCCTATAACGCAGTAAGATGTCCCACTGCTTCATTAAACCATCTCAAAGAAATGCTTGAAACCATAAACCAAGTAGTTTTGATGAAAAAGGAACCTGCATATCACTCCAACTTAACCAGTACCTTTTTAACAGACCACACAGCAATAGGATTAAAATACAAATAAATCTCTTAAGTTAATTATGGTCATTTTACAAACATGGTACATATGAATTTGTATAACAAGTTTTATTCAAAATAGTCAATATGGTTATTTTTTGTTCCACATGATCAATTCTATTCTAAGATGTAAAATCCTTCCAGAAGCATGCAATAACCGTTTCCACAAAGGTCCTTGTGGTTTTTTCTGCCTCTGAAAATGCTTGTTTCCCAACTTCAACTAACCTAACAGCCCAGATCTGTATAGTTCTATACGTGATCAAACTCAAATCTTTTTGGGGAAATGAGCGGCATCTAGAAGAACCTTCTGAGCTGACTGGATAAAGCAACACCTACTGCACCCCTTCCATGTGTTGGTTTTAGCCAATCACAGTATCGAATGAGATAATGAGGGGACATGAGAAAACAACTTATTTTGTTTTCTCACACTTTTTCTGTTCCTTCTTCTAAAGATGAAATCCTAGATTCTGACAAACAGATGTTATAGCAGCAGCTACATGTACGCTCTCCTGCCTTGCCATGTTCATATTGGTTCTACTGCGGATTCAGCAGCTCGTTTTGGTCAGCGCTGTATGTCTCGCCTTAAAACACAACGGTGCACCGTGATTGGCGGACCCCTTTTTGGGGTCGGTCTTGAATAGTTGAAGCATTAGCGGTATAAGATGGATTCTCGTGTTTCTGAATATGCCGTGAGAATTCAGCTTAGAGGCAAGGTTATGCTTCATCATATCTAAATTACGTCAAAAGACTCAGGGCTCAATGAATCAGGTGTCGATTGAAGAAGGGAAACATTTAAACATGCAGAGCACCACAGATAGAACTAATTATATACTCAGTATTAAATTACAATAGAGATTTTGCAGGACTTAAAAGTTTTTTCAAATCTCATTTTTTTTCTTTCCTCCACTCATTTCTAGCACCGTTATTTGGGGGAAAAAAACAAACAAAAAAAAAAAAACAGGAGGCAGCAGCTGGAGTGTGCCGTGTTGGGCAGTCTAAGGTAAACATCCAACAGATAACTTTGATAGAAACGTCCTTTTCAGAAGATTCTTTTTTTTTCTCTCTCTCTCTCTATATATATATATATATATATATATATATATATATATATATATATATATATATATATATATATATATATATATATATATATACATATATATAAAACTAGACTGCATCAAAAATGTCTTTAATTTAGAAATGAACTTGAAGATTCAGCATAAACAGAAAACGTAAATTCAGCCTGTTTTTGCCTTGAGTTTACATGGTCTCTGAACTGTAGAAAATGTTAAAAATAATAAATTTCTTTCACCATAAAAAAGGAGTGTAGCCAGATTTGAAGCTAAGCGTTTTTTTTTTTTTTTTACTTTAATCCTCTTTCAAACTGTAATGCATGATTCCAATAACCTCTCCAATCAATATAGTATAGTCAGCTGCTCTATATGCATTTCAAACATCCATCTTAATTTCTAGCATTTCTCTTGCAGATATATATGCCATTGACGGATCAATTTATATTCTATTAATTAGGTCATTTGAAGATTACTGACATCAGACACATTTATCTGGGATAACAGATCTGATATGTGCCAATCTTCATTTTCAGTTAAAGAAAACCAACATAATGGTTAAAGTGGTCTTTTCATTGGGAGAAATGACTCCTCTTTTAAGCACGGGTTGAAATACAGCACAAGTCTGCTGTTGATTTTCTGTTATTTGTACTGATGGCACCGTTATGGTAGGTTATGCTGGCCTTGTGCAACTCCCTGCTGGTTTGGTGGTTCGTCGTGGTGCATCTGGGGGGGACCTTGCTGCGGTAAGTCTTGATTGGGTTCGTGATGCTCCTGTTGTGTGTCTTGATGGTGCTGGGGAGTCTCATGGTGTCCTGGCGGTTGAGCTTCTTGATCATGATGCAACTGGTTGTCAGCTGCATGGACCTCAGGGACAATGTTTCCTTCGACTGTAATATGATACAAAAAAAATGTTTTTACGTTCATTGCCCTAGTGGACAATAAAAACAAATAAAATCCTGGAAACGGCACTTACTGTGAACTTCTGGTGGAGGCTCTACATTCTCAGACTTCAGTCGTTCCATATGCTCAACAGCCTGTAATGAGTTTCGTTTAAGTCTAAATATTTGGATGTTGTGTATGTGTTACCAAGCAGGCAAATGCTTTGAACAGCACACATTCACCACTCTGACAAATCTCATCATCCTTATAGTCATTTTCTAATTCAAATTGCTAAACATCCAAACCCAGGTTCAGGTACTATTCACTATTTACCTGCTGGAGTTCAACTTTCTGTGCATTCAGCTGTTCCTGCTGCCGCTCCAGCTCTTCTCTCTGTTTCTGAAGATCAACAGCCTTCTGATTGAGATCCTGTTCTTGCTGCGCCAGATGCTCCTCAAACTCCCTCATTTCTTCATCTGTATAAGCTTGATTCTGCTCCAGAGTCTAACCAAAATACATTAGGACATCATTTCTAACATATATGCATCCTTTTACCTAACAGGAATTATTACCAATTCATATTGCTACCATCTCATTCCGTATCTTACCTCCCAGCTATCTGGCTCCAGGAATTCTTTTTTCTTTGTAGCAACCAGGAACTCGTCTAAAGACACCAACCTGTCTTTATTAGTATCCACCTAAAGCAGAAAGGTAGAGCGGCGAGCCTTTTAGATCGGACTAAACTCTAATGAAAAGTTTATGGCATTAGATGAAACATCAAATCCAACCGTTATTTATAGAAGAGATGGATCTGGACACTTTATTAGGTACCGGTATATCCATTCAATTACCTGTTAGCACAAAGCGAATCAGCTAATCACTTGGCATAAAGGGATCTGGATGACTTACTAAAGCTCAAAACCAAGCATCAGAATGGGGAAAAAGAAGGATTTAGGTGACTTTAAATCTAAAAGGTCTGGCCTGAATTTCTCAGAAACCGCTAATATACTAGAATTTTCACTTCCAACATCTCAGATTTTCAGAAAATAGTCTGAAAAAGAACAAGAATGATGTGACTGGTTCAGGATGATAAGTCGAGTGATGATTTTCTGGTGAAGGTATTCGAATCGCTCTCGAGGGAGATAATCTGTATCAGCATCAGCCTTAGTTATCATGTTTCAGTCGTTTTCTAGTCAGAAGTTATGCAGAACATGGAAGCAGACATCTTGTCTTGAATAAATAACTTAGGCTGGTAGTGATCTTAAAACGTACTGAATGAGCATCATGTGGCATAGCCAAGTATTGTTGTCAACCATATCAATCCCTTTTAACCACAGTCTATGAATCAGTAGATATTTTTCCCCCCAAAAGCAGAAAAAAGCACCATTCCACAAAAATAAAAAATGATCTCAGATGTTTTAGTTTAAAAACACAACAATAAATTGTGTTTTCTCCAATAGTTTCCATACTGAGAGAAGTAAAATACAATACAGCACCTTTGGAATGGAAGAAACACTCTCAGTAGTTAGTCCAATAACTTGCTGAATCAATACCCTGAATAATTAAGACTGTTTTGACAGCGAAAGGTGGTCCGATTCAGGTATTGGCAAACTTTACATAGTAAAATAACCCGTGACTCTATGACCTTCATCAAATTTGCATGGGCTGGCAGGGAATCAGTAACTGGCAAGTCCTAAAATTCTGGTTATACACTCATGATCTGAGCTGATTTATTATCTATAGACACAACAAGATTGCTAATTAAATAACATTATTATATAAATGAGCAAATAAATGCAACTTTCAATTAAAATCAAATTTGTATCACGTCGTAGCAGTTTTGCTAGCTTTACCTCATTCATTACATGTTCTCTCATCCGCAGCCTCTCCTCTTCCATCTCCACCATATCGTCCTCTTCATTAGTGGGGTCATAGATTTTTTCTAGCTGAATTCAAAACAGGGCAACAGTTAGACCAAGGAAAGGTTTGTAAAAATGGAAGATTATTTTCAATAAAGTGTTTTTTTTACCTCTTTGGTGAACAAAGCTTCAAGCTCCTGTTCGTCGAAGAAACCATCTCCGTTAGTATCTACATTAAAAGATGATTGAAAAGAGAGAAGTATGTAACATAATGGTCTCCCGGTGAAAGAAAGCTGTTGGGCTATCATCTAGCTCTGGGACATTTATTCCAAGAACAAAACAGGAAAATCTTTTTTTTTTTATAAAAAGTATAATCCTTCCAAGTGCTAAAAATGATTTAGCACTATAATAACAGCTCATAATCCTATTTCACTGGGTGGTTGCTAGTAAAAATTTACCATGCAGGTTGAAAAAGGTCTTTGGATCAAAGTCCTCAGGGTCTAAGCCATCAGCCTCCTCCCAAACTTCTTTCAGTTGATTCTGGCTACCCTACATCGTAGAAATAAAACATAGCTGAGGTTATTTTCATACCCAGACAGAATAATATGCCAGAATTGTATTAAATTCCACTGTGTGATAATCACTTCTTAAGTGTCAGTCAATTCCTAAAAATAGTAAAACCACAAAATATTTATGAATCCTTTTGCAGTCAATGACATTTACCGGGTGGTTGACTTTAGGGTGATCAGCATGCTTCTTCCTCATCTCCTCATAGTGCTCCTCCTCTTTCTGCCTCTGCTCCTCATCTAGGGTCTTCAGGTGCTCCCGTCTGTCGTGCTCCTTCATCATCTCATACCTCTTAAACTCCTCATGTCTCTCTTTGTCAAAATTCTCCAGATCGTTTGTTGCCTGAAAGAAGGTGAAATATTTTGGTAGGGTTAGAAACGTACCTTCTAAACACTGCAATGATTTCCTCAGCCGTCTACACTGATATATCTCATGGTTCATTCATCCAGATGCAACAAACATTGCTTATGTAATTATTTTATGGTTCTTATTGAGATTTCCAGACCGATTAGATTTCTGTTCTGCCATCTTTGTATCAATGCTGACGTGTGAATATAAACCCTGATTATTAGATACAGGTGCTGGTCATAAAATCATGAAAAAGTAGATTGATTTCAGTAATTCCATTTAAAAAGTGAAACTTGTATATTATATTCATACATTACATACAAACTCATATATTTCAGATGTTTATTTTGTTTAATTTTGATGATTACAAATGACAACAAATGAAAATCTCAAATTCATCATATCAGAAAATTAGAATATTACTGAAGACCAATAAAAACAAAGGATTTATAGAAATGTTGGCCAACTGAAAAGTATGAACATGAAAAGTATGAGCATGTACAGCACTCAGTATTTAGTTGGGCCTCCTTTGGCCTGTATTACTGCAGCAATGCGGCGTGGCATGGAGTCGATCAGTCTGTGGCACTGCTCAGGTGTTATGATAGCCCAGGTTGCTCTAATAGTGGCTTTTAGCTCTTCTGAATTGTTGGGTCTGGTGTATTGCATCTTCTTCTTCACAATACCCCATAGATTTTCTATGGGGTTAAGGTCAGGAGAGTTTGCTGGCCAATTAAGAACAGGGATACCATGGTCCTTCAACCAGGTACTGGTAGCTTTGGCACTGTGTGCAGGTGCCAAGTCCTGTTGGAAAATGAAATCTGCATCTCCAAAAAGTTGGTCAGCTGCAGGAAGCATGAAGTGCTCTAAAACTTCCTGGTATGTGGCTGCGTTGACCCTGGACCTCAGAAAACACAATGGACCAACACCAGCAGATGACATGGCACCCCAAACCATCACTGACTGTGGAAACTTTACACTGGACTTCAAGCAACGTGGATGAAGTGCCTCTCTTCTTTTCCTCCAGACTCTGGGACCTTGATTTCCAAAGGAAATGCAAAATTTACTTTCATCAGAGAACATGACTTTGGACCACTCACCAGCAGTCCAGTCCTGTTTCTCTTTAGCCCAGGCAAGACGCTTCTGACGCTGTCTGTGGTTCAAGAGTGGCTTGACACAAGGAATGCGACAGCAGAAACCCATGTCTTTCATACGTCTGTGTGTGGTGGTTCTTGAAGCACTCACTCCAGCTGCAGTCCACTCTTTGTGAATCTCCCCCACATTTTTGAATGGGTTTTGTTTCACAATCCTCTCCAGGGTGCGGTTATCTCTCTTGCTTGTACACTTTTTTCGACCACATCTTTTCCTTCCCTTCGCCTCTCTATTAATGTGCTTGGACACTGAGCTCTGTGAACAGCCAGCCTCTTTAGCGATGACCTTTTGTGTCTTGCCCTCCTTGTGCAAGGTGTCGATGGTCGTCTTTTGGACAACTGTCAAGTCAGCAGTCTTCCCCATGATTGTCTAGCCTATAGAACTAGACTGAAAGACCATTTAAAGGCTTTTGCAGGTGGTTTGAGTTAATTAGCTGATTAGAGTGTGGCACCAGGGGCCATCAATTTTGAACCTTTTCACAATATTCTAATTTTCTGATATGATGAATTTGAGATTTTCATTTGTTGTCATTTGTAATCATCAAAATTAAACAAAATAAACATCTGAAATATATGAGTTTGTATGTAATGTATGAATATAATATACAAGTTTCACTTTTTAAATGGAATTACTGAAATCAATCTACTTTTTCATGATATTCTAATTTTATGACCAGCACCTGTATATCTAAACAAAAATCAGAAGGTATTCAAAATATGACACAGAGTTATTTAGTGCTGCTATTGTTATTGCTAATGGTTCATGTATCTGTGACTGTCTACTTCAACCCCTCTAAATACATGAGGATTGAAAAATGTTGCTAATTCAAAGGTGAATCAGGAGAAGGCTGTCAAAACATAAAGATACGGCTGTTTAGAAAAACAGTGGCAAACTAAAACTTTAAACAGAAAGGCAAATTAAAATGTCTGTATTATTACAGAATATAATGTAAAGGTGATGCAAGGTTCAAGCAACAGTGCAAGTTCCAATGAGCAGCAATTGTGCCCAGATAAGGAAAACTGAAATAGGTCTGCACATTTAATTACTGAAAGAGAAACCGAACAGTTTGTGAAAGAATATTTTTTGTTGGCTATAAATCTGTCATTTTTAGCAATATTCTCAAAAGTTGAGTTGTATGATTAAAATAAGCGAGGAAACTTTAGAAAGGGATAGAGTTGCATTAGTACAAGAAATGCATAAAAAAAAAAAATATATATATATTATCTCTGAATAAGTAAAAACCAAACGAAAAGGGGCAATTGTTTGGATTTCCACTAGTTTTAGCATTGATATAGTCTTTTAAAAGTCTGCTTCTGTTCATCAAAACATGAAATAAATACTAACTTTAAGAGTAAATGAAAAGCACTGAGACGGGATTAAACTCCACAATTAATATCAATTAGATGTTTGTTTTTCCACATTTTTGCATCTATTTGAAATTACACAACAGTAAGTTACACTGGTAAGCCGCGCTTGCATAAACTCTAAGATTTATGTTCAAACTATGACAAAGTATGACTAAGGGAAAGATATTACCGATTTAATGAGCCGATCCAGATCTTCCACTTCAAACGTATGTGGGTTCATGTGGTTCAGATGCTCAAACTGCTTTAAGAGAGCCTGGTGGTCCACAGCTATATCTATTCAAAAGGTACATTTTAAAAATATATACATTTTTTTAAGGCTGATGCATTCAATTACAGAAATACTTTGAAATTGTGCTAAAATTCCTACCACTTCCTCCTTCTAGATCGTGTTTGGCCTTAATCAGGGTCCGCAGTCGATTTACTTCTTGTCTTTTTAATTCGTCCAATTTCGTTCTGACATGATGGCTGACAAAGTCCAGTTCTTGAGCCAGCTTACCTTGCTAAATGACAAACAAGGGAGGGTAAAAGTTAATCTGAGGAAGCATGTCTTAATCCATTTTAGGGAAAATGGTAATATTACAATCAAGTATAGCAAAGCATTTCTGATGTACTATACTGTGTTTCTAAGGCATTATAACAGTGTTATAGAGCCAAAATAAAGAAACCCAGGATACCTTGATGTCTTCCATGTCTGTATTGTGCAACTTTTCTCTGAAATGTTGATCTTTCTCAAGAAAATCAATGACTTCCCTTAGGTAGCGATCATAATGGAGTCCTGTGTCCTGTAAAATGCAACAAAGTAATCACTTAATCAATCAATACTTATATTGTATCATCCTACAGGTGCAGTTAAGTTTCTAAATAGATTATTTAAGAAACCTTGGTCCTTAAATAACATTTTTAAATGTTTTTTTATCTATAAGAGCAGGTGGCACTAAAACAGTCATACTGTTACGTTCAAACACATTAATCAACCTGTTTCATGGGGTTGTGCCTAAAATAAATCTTTTTACCACATTGGCTGGAGGCTCTTCGGTTTTTTTCTCTGCCTCTTTGACTTTTGTCTTGTCGATGCCGATGGGAACAGCCTGTAAACACTGGAGCTGCACCAGCAGCACAACCAAACCGGTGACAAGAGCCCAGCTACAGCACATCTGGACATAAACACAATGACATATCAGTCGCTACATAACATACTTCAAAATACAATGTGTTTGTGTATTAACCCGAGTCAGCAGGTTCGTGAAGCCTGCCTTCACTACATCAGTGGCTAATAATAATTTGGAGGAAGTTGATAGTGTTAGCTTTAGCAACGCTTCTCTCAGATCTGACATCAAAAATAAAATCAGAGGCTAGGTCAACATAGCCTTATTGGTTTTAACATCATAATTTACATTAAAAAAAATGTTCCTGACACTGACTGCGATGTTATCAGATCAACTACCATGAACCACTGACATGTCACTGAATACTCACTTTAACAGAAACCCTGTCCCCCATCTGCTCTGCTGCCCTGTCGTGTTGCTGCTGCTCAGCTGGTTCTGTGTGCGCCGCTACCAAGCTAGTCAGCAAGATGGGTTGCACACCAGTTAGCAGTAACGTGATTGGCTACTTCAGCAGCTCCCGGAAAATGAGCAGCAAGTTGCGTTGCATTGAATCTTACGTGGCGACGTGACGACAGAGAAGTGGGCGTTTCCTATTGTTTATCAAATTAACACATTTTGATTATTGTTTTAATTAATATATTAACTATATTTTCAACACCAAATAATTAAAAGCGTATCTTATCTATCTATCAATCTATCAATCAATCAATCAATCTATCTATCTATCTATCTATCTATCTATCTATCTATCTATCTATCTATCTATCTATCTATCTATCTATCTATCTATCTATCTATCTATCTATCTATAGATAGTTATTCACTTTAACTCTCTTTTATGATTTATGAGCTTTTTTTGCCCTCATCTACAGCACTTTGAATTGTTTTACCACTGATATACTGTATAAATAAAGGTAACTTCCCCCCACTGCAAAGTATCTACTCTGGATGTTCTCCTCATTCATTGTCCATGTTGTCTTTGGCCAGTGAACTGGCCTGACCTGAATCTCATACTGTATATAATCAATGGGTTATTGACTAGAGGGCGATGAAAAGCACCAGATCCAACAATGAGATCACCTGAAGCCTGCTCTCAAAGCAACCGGGGCCTCCACTGGACCTTAGAAGTGTCCCAGGGATGATCACCTCCATGAATTGCATTGATGTAGTCATTTCTGCAAAAGGAGTCCCAAACAAGGTATAAGAGCATTGAAATGAAAATTATTTTTACTAGGCTGACGTATTAAATAAAATTGTTATTTTCAATCAATCTTATCTAGAATTAGTGAATATTAAGTGAATATTAATATATATCACAATATAAATTGATTGAATAGCAATTAAATTATATTTCTTATAGTTCAATATACATTATACGATCTATGTTTGCAGCATGTTTCATTTGTTTTTTTTTATGTATCTTGTTTTTCAAAACATATATTTCTAAAGCTCAATATTAGATGAGTGAAATTAACTTTCATAAGTTTGCACAAGAGAATGTGGGCATACTTGGCATAGATTCAGAAATACAGCAGATCTGGATGCATGATCTAACTGTCTAGCTTTTCATGTCAAAAACTCTTTTCTTCCAATAGTGAATATGGCTGTATGAAATCTATAGATCTATATGAATTTTCTAGTAAACATATTTTCTCATTTTTTCCTCTGTTTAATGAGTGTCCATGCAGCTTTTGTAGAAAGGGTTTAAATAAACCCTTTGTGACTAAACCAGTCTTTAAACCACATTGCTGCAGTCTTCCTGTAAGGAGAGAGGATTTGTTTGACCACGTCACATTAAAATAGTGCTTACACTGCATCAAACAGTCCTTCCTAATTTGCCACTTCAGGTCTGGGGAGAAAATCATATTTTAATGATTCATTTTAATTCTTTTTTATAAATTATTAGGCATCTATGCAGCTGCAATGTCTACATTTGATGTTCTCCTCATTTAATTTCCATAGTGTTACTGTGTGTGGCTGGGTTCTTTATGAATAAGATTGATTCTATTAAAGAAAAAGATAATTATCACCCCTCTAAATGTGATTGTTTTATACAGAACCTTAACTGGGTTTGGACTGTTTAGATCCAATTGAGCTTTTAAAGTTTGCAAAATTATTATCTTTATCTAAGCCATTAACTTTTCAGTTAGATTCAGTTCCAATCAAGTTTTTTTTTTTAAGGAAGTATTCCCTGTGATTTCCACCTCCATTTTAGATATGATTAATCTATCCCTGTTACAGGGGTAGGCCTTTGTAACTCAGTCATTTCAGGTAGGTGTAATTAAACCTTTACTTAACAAGTCAAAAGCCCTCAGCTTATCCTAAATTCTGCAGCGAAAATTTGATGAAAATAAAAAAAGAGAGTTCACATGTCTCCCAGTTTAGTTTCCCTTCATTCGATTCCTATTAAATCCACAATAGAATTTAAAATCCTCCTTCTCACATTTGAGTGACTCAGGTTATCCTGAGTTAACTCTATATTTATGCTGCTATAGGTTTAGACAGATGGTGGGCATAGGGAACAGTTTTCCTCATTATGCTTCATTCCATTCTACAAATTTGCAGTCTACTAAAAAAAAAGAATGCATCCGTTTTTGGCATTTACTTAATTTAGTTACTTTAACACGATTGTTTCATGATAGCAGGGTAGGACAGAAAACAATTGTGTTAAAGTAACTAAATATGATTAAGTAAATGCCAAAAGAGGTTGCATTCTTTTTTTCAGTCTTTCCCATCATTATGGTTCATTTTGGCCATTACAACGTCCTGGGAGAAATATCAGTTGTGTTGCCACCATCAACACCTCAGATAATAGATGACGTGTTGGGCTTGTTTTTCAGTGCTTTGTCTTGTTTCTCTCCTAGACAGAGCTATAGCCTCAGCTTTTACTGTGACTAGCTGTAGGTACTCTCTCCCATCCCTTTGGGAGGAAACGTGGCTCAGAAGAAGATGCAGAAAACCAGTGGAACTTATATTTGAATGCAAGTGTGTCCTCTGCTATTAGGCTGCCATTACACCCGCTGCCAAATTCCATCAAGTCTGCACTGACGCAGACTCACTAATTAAGGGCTGATTGGCCTACTTGCCCTACCAACTATGTGATTTGGGACAGTCCTTAATATGGCGGACCCTCCGCAGGAATGTACACACAAAGGATTGGGGTAGTGTTTAGAGGCCAGTTTGGGATTAGGCCTACGACACAATGCAAGCTGTTGCCACATGCTCATCCAGGCAGAGAATATTCTCCAAATGACTCCATGAAATCAGCTGTTTTCCTAAGATAGAAAACTTAACTAATCTGACTGTATAATCTTATTAAATAAAGTGCCTTAATATGTCAAGTGTTGTGAATTGGCACTACATAAATAAACTGAATTAAAACTGAAATTTTCTTACATCATACTTAATTGGGTTGTGGATAAGGATAAATACCCCAAGCAAGAAAAAAAAACACTGAAAGCTTCAAAATGTTAAATTTGAATATAAAAAAAATATTGTTTTCATTTACAGACAATAAATGTGTATATTTTGCATATTTATAAACATTTTGTTATAAGAACTTACATGATTGTTATGAATCTGTGTAGGGCAATACTTATAGAGTATACAGAGTAAATGTTTACTGTAATACCTTCTAAAAATATGATGAATAGATTTAGCCAATTAATTTGTTTAACCAAATATTATAAAGACATAGCAACAAACAAAATGCTTGTGACATTAAAAAGAGAAGTAGGTAGAGATATGAATACCCACAGCTATTTGAATAATGTTAAATCCTGCTGGTAAAGTTTTTCTGAGTCTAAGAGCAGTCTCAGGGATGTATTTATAGGTTGAAGTCCACCATTGCCTAAGTGAATACTTTTTTTAAATAAATAAATAGTTTTACTTAAATAGCTATAATAAAGATTATCATAAGCATCATAAGTCTTTAATATAATGCATCTAAATATTTTATTTTTTTCGTAAACAGCTTACGTAGGAGCTTACACCAAATTTCTTTAATTTCTATTAAAAAAAAAGAAAAATACACAAACAAAAAAACACTACTTGTTTTGTTCTTTGAAAAAAATAACTTGTGTGTGCAGAAACCCAAAAACTGCATTGCGGTCCAAGGTTTTACTCAGCTTTAGAAGCAGCACTCTGTGATTAATGGGTTCAACTCTACCTCTTACTGTAGTCCTCCTCAGCGGACTCACTGGGAAACATGACATGAAACCTTGTAACTCTGCTTACAGTTGAATTCTCACAGTTTACTTATCATCAACCTGCAAAAATCAAAATTAGATATCTTTGAAAGTCTCTAAGAACCGGTTCTACATTTACATAAAACCAAGAAACATATAGGATACATTTAGGACATAAAGGATTTTTTTTCTAGCATGCAGTCAAGGCTTTGAATTTTATTTATATTATATCTCCAGGAGAGGGCGTAGTTGTTTCTAACTTGTCAGTATATAATTTTTGTGCTTTAAACTATACAAGAAATTGGATAATTTTTTAATTATCATTTGAAACAAAAATGGGTTTTGCTTTCTATCACTCTCTCCAAATAGTTAATTAATATACCCTTAATTAATATACCCTGACTACAACCAAGTAATTTCATGTTAAATTCTTTTTATATCATATTTAAAATGTAGTCCCTTCTATTCCTTAAAGCATCTGGCAACAGATGTCTGAAACAGCTCAGAAAAAACCTGGCACTTAGTTTTATAAACATTGTCTCTCTGCTAAAATTATGATTGCTAAGAAAGGAAATCAAAAGTACTATTTATGAGCCTTGGCAGGTACAGCAAGACAATAAATCTAGCTTCTCTCTGGATGAGTGAGCTTCTGACTAAAAATAACATCCCTGCCCTGTAGATGTCAGTGTAATCGTATGGTGGGCTGGGAGGTAATTAATCAATGTCTTAAGATCATAACCAAATTGAAAATGAGAGAAAGCTCTATAGTGGATGGAGCTGATCAGCACTTCTTCTTTTTCATCAGCAGCTATATGTTGATTAAATGTGCTGCAGACCAAAAAAAGGAGACTGCTTTTTAAAATATTGCACCTGGGTAATTTATTAGTACTCTAATACTCTCATTTGGGGAGTATTTTTTACACTGTTCACATTAAGGGATACTTTAAACATAGGTATAACAGAAAATATGGTAATGATTTTCGATGAGGGGCTCATAATAGATAGATTAGGAACCAGGCAAGCTAAAGAATATTACAAAGTCAGAATAAAGAAATCTTTATTTCATTTTCTTGCTTGGCACCTCTACTAAGCTGCGATTCAGCGGGAAGAGGCTCTCTGAGGAGAAGACAATAACATTGAGTCACCTTGCTGCATTGTGAACCTCATGCAGCCGAGAGGCAGGATTTAGCAGCAGAGAATCCACTGCAGATCTCTACTAGACAGCAACAGCATGTGTGTGTGTTTGTATTTTCTAGATCATAATGTATAAATGGACATGTGCATGGTAAAACCATGATAAATGATGACAAGGTCAAATCAC